ATGCACTGGGGAGTTCACTGCATGTGTTTTCACAGCTCATTTTGTGCCTGTACAAGAGCGTTCATGTGTACTCTTCCCGAGGTGATCAAGCACAGCTGTCTGCTCTGGGAACTCAGTTGTAAACCTGTGTCATTTTTAGTGCTCCCCCAAAGTTAAATAATGTCAAGAGAGAACAATGCTCTGCATTTAACCCCTTCACAAAATAAGCCGTTGCTTCTTTGTTGCTATCCAAAAAATGCAGATTTGTAAAAAGATTATAAACAGAAAATACTAAAAGCAACAAAAAATGTGCATAGCTAACAAAAGGGCATATGGAAATTTACTGAATACATACTCAGTATTCACTAAGCAGCTCCAGGCTCTCAAGAGAGCAAAAGCAGATTCACCATGCACAGACAGCAGTTACTGTCTTGCTCCAGAATTCAGTGCAGTAGGAAGTCACAATCTGCTGCTTCATTATATATTTAAAAAGCATATCCTCCCTAGCCCCCTCAGGACCAGTGTCATTTGTGACACCTTCGTACATAGCAGTATGCTCTTCAAAATCCCTGTAGTTTTTGTTTTTAAGGAACAGACCCCACGAAACGTCCCTTCTTGCTGCACTCTGCCTCCTCCTTCACTACAGGAGATATGGCCACAGCACTGAAAGAATCACCGAGAAGCTGATGTTAAAGGACTATGGGAAACTCGAACACAGGACTGAACCAGCACTGAACATGTAAATACCTCATTTTGCCATGTCATCAACTAGTGAACTGTGTCTGCACATTTAAAGATGGGCTGTGGCTGATTTCTAAGAAGTCTTTCCAATTCCTTTTTCCCCCCCACCGCGTTTCCCAGCGTGGCCACCCACCACTCTCCTCCCCTCCGTGGGCAGGAGAACAGCCTCGATGTGTCTCTGCGAGGCTGCCTGCAGCTGCTGACATGCCAAGAGGTCAGCTCTCCCCCCGGACACTGACACATTTCCACCACGATGCGAAACGGGCCTCTCCAGAGGCAAACTTGGAGAGTGTGCTTTCAAACTTGCAATGCTGGCTGTGGGAGATATCACTAAGCCAAGCTGCATTATCCCATGTATTAAGAAAAACAAACAAATAAAAAGCCCCCAAACAAGTGGATACTTTGATGCTATGGAATAGATCTGGGAAAAAACCCAAAACCCAACAGTGGCTATCTTATCTGGCCCCTGGAGCCTTGTTATGATTTATTAAGTGCTAGGATCTGACATCAAGCCAATAAAATAAAGCACATTAAGGCAACAGT